AGGAGACAGCATACCATGCTTTTTGAATGTTTCCTCTGTTTCAAATATATTATTCTCGATTGGTAGAGCAATTTTTTGTGGAATAACTTTAATACCTTGCATATCTATTTCCAATAAAATACTTGAGGTAACTGAATTTTAATCAGTCAACTTTCAAACTTATACGCGAAAAGATCTATATATATATATATATAGTTATTGTTCTTATCTAATCAGAAATGATTATTGAATAAGGAAGTTAGTTAGCTCCCTAATCATATCATTAAAGGGGAGCTGTTGGAAGGTGAGTTGCACAACCCTTTTGAAATTATACGTATATGAACATTTTATATATACTTTGTTTCAGCATTTACTTTTATACATTTCATGTGCTTCATTCGGCTGCGGATTTGTGCCCTTTCGACACAACGCATCATCTCTGTTTTTTCTTTGTCAATAAATTCAGCATTTCTTTTCCCTTCATTTGGTGTGCTGCACATGACAATCTAACTATCATTAACTTAGTACTCTCCTGACATGTCACGTCATTCTTTGCCAATAACTTCTGCATTACTTCTCCTTTCTTTTGATGTACTACAACATCAGAATCCGTTTTCGCATCATATGTACCAGCTCGCGGACCATTTTGAAGACCAAATAGAGTACCATAGTTGCATCCCACAACCCTTTCGTTTGATTGCACGTAGCCATCCAACTATTATTTACAAAGATACGGCTTGGTGCCCTTTTGGCATGCAGCACTATTTTTTTTCTGTCAATAAATTCTGCATTAGCCGCCGACCTCATCACTATCACCAACTCGCAATCACTTCCAAGATCTTACGTTGGTGCTGGAGTCTAACAACCAAGTCGATTACGAAGACGGCCTGGCCTCGATTCTCATATTAATATATATTTATTTTCTTTTATTCATCTATACCAGGGTAACGTCACAGAGATGTGGCGAGAACCTAGTATTGAGCGGAAAAAAGTAACAGATGGAAAGCTGGGTTAAAGCTGAGGTGGCCCGACGTACCTACCCACTTGACAACTTTGTGCACTTTGATTGGCTTGGTGGCTTTAGGGGACTTCCACTGTGATGTTTTGAAATATTTCCTCTACATACCATTTGTTCATACTCTGAAATATTATGTTGACGATTGGTTGAACATATTTTTTTTTAGAAAAAAGTACATATTGGCATTTTGAAAGGCTCATTTGGAAACCTGTAAAATCGTGAAGGATTTTTGGATTTGGATTGGATTTTTTAATGCGCCTCAATGTTTCATCCGTAAGTGACTTTGAAATACCATGTTCGGCTGAATCAATGACTACTATCAAGAGATCCGTTGATCTTCCAAGAATTAATCTTTTGAGTATGTAGGATGTCATCTTAGTGAATATCAAAAATACGGCAAAGGTTTTCCGTTTGTAAACAAATACCTAGTT